CTTTACTGGGTCCAGTACTCAACAACTGAGCCATTTCTCTAGTCCCTGTTTCCATCTTTTGACTTCATAATCTCATATAGTTTGTGTCTTGGTATTCATGGGAACTGTTTCTCCAATGACCCATAGATGCAAAATGTACCCATAGATGCAAAGTCCCTTATATGATGTAACATTTATAATTTACCTATACACTCTTCCCATGTACCTGAAATCATCTCTAGATGGTCCCTAATACCTAACAAACACTAATCCTCTGGCAAGAGTTGTTATCCTGTATTGTTTAGGGAACAACAAAGGGAAAGACATGTCGTTTGTTATAGATACAATTTTCTCCAAGTATTTTCAACCTAAGGCTGGTTGAATCCACAGATGTAGGATTCATGGATACAGTGCTGATGCTAATAAGACACAGACACCTTTAGAAAATTTACACAGAGAAAAGAAAATAACGAGTCTCCCTCTGTGTATAATACAAATAAAGATGGGGAAAGCTCTAAGGGTTAGTAACAGGGGCATTGTGGTACCTTTATTTTACATGTTAAGATGTATTATGTATCTGCATAGAATGTACTGGTGTTTTTAAAATGGCCAATGTGAACATCTTTCAAATACTCAGGACAGACTGAAGAGGAAGCATCAAAAAAAAAAAATGTAACTTGATTCCAGATTCAAATCGCCTAGGCAGGATGTACACAGTCAGCAGGAAACCCAATGAATGCTGACACAAAACAATGTGGGTTGTGTTTTGGAGTTCTTTGCTCCTTTTGTTCAATTTCTCCATCTTCCTTCAAACTAAATCTAGTCAGGTTTTTGTCCCCAGCCCTTGTCCAAAGCTGCTCTCCAAAGTCAAGGCCACCAGTATCACCTGAATAGCCAAATCCATTGACCAATTCCCAGTTCTCTTTGTGCCTGACACTGCTGAGGGTTGTTTCTCCATATGCTGTCTCCCCAGACTTCTCTTGGTTTTTCCTCCCACTTTGTGGCCACTCCTCAGTCATTGTTGATTGTCCCTTCCCCATCCTTTCGAAGACTGCAGTCCCAATGTCATTCTGTGGTCCTCTCCTTTCATGATCTCATCCATCTTCATGTCTTTGCCCATTATCTACATGTCAATGTCTCCCAAATGATCATCTTTATCTTCAGCAGTCTTTTTCTAGACTTCATGTTACTACACTAAACTTCCCGGCCACCAACTCCAGGTGTGTGAAGGTACTGGAGGCTCAATATTTCCAAATAAAGCCTTTCCTTCCTTCCTTAACTGACTCCTTGTGGTGTCTTCAGTCAGTAGATGGCAACTGTATTCCTTGCTCAGGTCCAATGAGGGTTCTTCTCGCCTTTTTCTTTCTCACTCTAATGTAAACAATCAGGAAGTCCTGACTACTTCCTATCATCTTTGCTCTGGTTTGGAGTCCTGGCTTGTTCCAAACACTTCCCACAGGGCTTCCCACTTTGATGCTTGCTTTAGATTGCTCTTTGAGTAGTCAGATTGGCTCTTGATGACATAAGTCACCTCAAGCAGTTTCCATGTTTACAGCTCTGATGACTCCTGCTTCAAATGTCAGCTTTTCAGTCACACCTACCTCCTACCCCTCCCTATGCTCCTTTTCTTCCTCATTCTTTGTGCTCTGGGCATACTCACTGCTTTGCTACACCTCTCCCCCAGACAAATGGAATGAATGTGATCAGGCCTCAAGGCTTTTGCTTTCTCTCCTCTGTCCTCTGAAACAGTTCCTTCCAGTCTTAGATCAAGTCTTCCCTGAAGACCAGTTTTATGATGGAAATCATCACTGCTCTTTCCTTGCTCCCCTACATCTATCCCAACATAGCTCAATTCCCAAAGTCTGTTCTTTCCTCCATGGGACAGAACATTTTCTAACATACAGCATCATCTACCAACGATGTTTATTTTGTCTCTCCTGCCTGAATGAAATTTCTGTAAGGGCAAAGAGCTTAGTCACTTTGCACTCTTGTGCATCCCTAACTCCCAGAACAGGCAGTTAGCAAATGTTTCTGAATGAATGCAAGTTGGATTGTGAATTATGAGTAAACTCTTCAGTTATATTGAGTCTATAATTGCTTGACCTTTTCTTTCTTTCTTTTTTTTTTTTTTTTTTTTTTTTTTTTTTTTTTGCTTGTTTGAGACAGGATCTTTTTATGTATTGCTGGCTGGCTTCAGCCTTAAGACTCTCCTGTCTCAGTCTCCCTAGTGCTGGGCTTACAGAATAGTATTATGTCTGTCTCATGACTCTGCAATGGTTTGTTTTATGTCAACACAAACTGGAGTCATTTGGGAAGAGGGAACCTCAATTGAGGAACTGCTTCCATAGATTAACCTGTGAGAAAGTCTATGAGGGTATTTTCTTGATTAATGTGGAAGGGCCCAAGCCACTGTGAGTGGTACCATCCCTGGGCAGGTGGCTCTGGGTTGTATAAGAAATTCTCTGAACAAGTCATGGGAAACAAACACACACACGCACGCACACACACACACCACTTCTGCTATCATCCCTGGAGAATTAACTCAGTCATAGACTGCTAGCCCCTCCTCCCTTCTGTTCCCCCAGCAGCTCTCAGAAGAAGACCCTTAAAATCCCACTCCTGCCATGGGATTTTAATGAGGGGGATGCTCTCAGCAATTAGAAACAGGAAAGGACTGATTAGGGCTCCAGTATATCAGCGTTTAACCCAGCATCTGATGCAGCCCTCCAAGAATTAACCTCATTCCCCATACACACTCAATTAGGCATATTTACTTCTCATTATCCAGTGCACAATCATGAGTGCTAATAAAAACCTTTGCTATCCCCAACAATGCCATTAATGCCATTAGCTGTCTCTCGGATACTCTCCTACACTTTGTTGCCAACAACAGTCTGCTCATTCATCCAGTTACTCAGCATTCACGCGCACACACCCTTCTCTGTTAGCAAGGGTTAAGTGCACATCTACTGTGTACCTTGGTTGGCAAAGGCTTGGAACTAGATAGATTTAAACATAGTAACTTCCCCAGAAGACACAGCAACAGCAGGCAAAGAATATTTAGAAGTGGAAGTGGATATTCATAAGTACAACTCCATTCTTTGGTCATAATTCAAATCCCAGCTCAGCCATGTTTTCTCCTTTCCCCCTTGTCTGAGATGGGTCCAAGGCTGTCCTAAAAAAAAAATCATCATGTAGTCCAGTTGGCCTCAAATTCACAATCTTCTCGTTCAATCTCCCTAGTGCTGGGATTACAGGTGTGCACCATCTGTAATGCCATGCCATGTTTTATCTCTGAGTACTGAGCCACCCATTGCTATCTCTAAATCTCAATGAGATGAAGATGATCACCCTAATGCCCCACAGGGCCCAAGCAGCACTGAATAAGACACTGTCTATTGAGCATCTGCCACAGCACATGGAACAGAGTGCATACTCAAAATGAAAGGGCAGTTAGGAGTTGGTGCCCTGTTCTCAGCCTTCAGAGGTTGCCAGGCACGTCTCATTCCCTGTCTTCTTCCTCTGGCCTGAAAGGATAAAGAGGATCTTATGGTTCTAAAGACACACTAAGATAGGAAAACACGGCCCCTCAGCATACCATTTCAGAAGACAGAGATGGTCTTGGCTAAGAGGGTACACACACCGCCTCTCTTCAGCTTGGCATCTCTTGTCTTCCTCCACTCAATATACAACATACTTTTGTTTTTCCCAACTAGCTCCTCCATTGTGGTCCCAGGAGAGAGTGACAGTAGGAATATTCATCTTGGATCAGAACACTGTGGTCACAGGAAATGGAAGTGGGCTAATCTACGTGTGTCTACATTGCTTGAGGCTCACTGAGGCTTCAGATGCCTGAATATGATAATGTGCACTTATTTTTTTAATGGAAAGACAACCATCCATGAACATAAACACATGAAAAAATATGCATATAGAACATATACAAACACATGATATTTGAAATGACACAGAAGAAATCATTAGCAATGTTGCCTCTAAAATCAGGAAGCTAGAAGCTAGGATGGAGCTAGATCATGAGAGAAGTTTCAGATTCTATTAAAAACCCTTCCGAATTGTTGTTTTCACATGAGCATACATTATCTATCTATATCCACACTGACATCTCTAAGTCTACATTAAACAAAACACAATCTGCCTTCAAGACTCTGCTGGGGCTTCTTCCAGATTGTGGAAGTGGGTACGAGAGGGGAGGGGATGGGCATGGGGATGGGGTCTGGGGACCGGAAAAGCAGCAAAGAACTTACTGGTATTGTGGTCTATGAAGTAATCGCCAACCTGTGGGTCATATGCTTCTTCCCATCCTAGCGGCAACTCATCACTAATGCAGTCAGCAAAGGTAAGTGGTTTGGTGTACCTGGCAAGGAAGATGAGAAACACATTCTATCAGACTGCAGTCCCCAATACTCCTGCAATGTGCCATTTTTTTTCTGGACTCCCTGCTTCTCCTGACTGAAACAGATCCAGACATTTTTCACTATAGCATTACCTCTGATGGCCCTGAGTTCCTGGGAAGGTGAAGACATTCTGCAGTAGCATCCATGTAAGGCTGCCCCAGGAGGCAGGCAGAGAATGTATTCTGGTCCTAACATTTTGTCACTAACTTGGTAGCGACTTCACAAAGTCATCTTTCTGTCTGGACCTTGGGTTTCTGCATCTCCAATTGATAGTCTGCACATTTCTAAGGCCAAGTCTTGGCTTCGTGACGTGGAGTACAGCCCCCTCTGGCTTTTCCACCTGCAGCTGGCTGGCCCACCCCACTCTGGTCTTTGTCCTGGCTTTGTCTTGTATTTGTCATGCCCATTTGCCCTTCAAAAAGCTGGCCTCCTGCAAGCTCTAGAGAAACAGACGCCCCAGCCCCAGGAGTCTGGCCAGCAAGCCATATCTGTTTGCT